GCTTGTTGAGGGCTGACTGGGAGGGCAAGGGCCTCACCAGCAGCACAGGCCCAGAGGTTGTGGCCAGTGGGTTTCACTTTCTGAAAAGGAATGATGAAACTCAGAACCTTGGATGGTGCTCCAGGCTCTGGAGGGAAATTTGCTCTAATAACTCAAAATTTTTTCCTTGTTCTTTGAAATAGTGACCTCATCTGCTATGCTTTGGTCTACTTCTGGCTGTCTGTCTCTCTACTTCTGACCCACTGTTCTAGATCCTTTCTCTTTCCTTTGTCAGGCCTGTTTCACAAGCAAATACACAGTCCTATGGTAAGCCAAACTTGCTGCATCCCACTTACTTTGTGGTAATTTTAGATGTCAGTCACTGGGTAAAAAAAAAAAAAAGGTTAAAAAAGGAAAGTTGTTGCTTTTATAACTAGTGCATCTGGTTGGTTCCAGTTTCCATATTAAAAATATAAGTGCAGTAATATTTCATCCATAATTGGGCCATCATTACGCAGTAGTAATCAGAGGTTCCATTGACCACATTACTCCAAAACTTGTGTGTAAGTCAGCTATAAAATTGTACATATGTTTTTGAATAGGTACTGTTTCCAGTCAATGAGGAAATCAGTAGCACTTCTGGTGTTTTTCAGATTGGACTCTCAAATCCTGTTTGCTTTATGAAGTGGGAAGAAATTCATTATAAAGTAGTCATATATAATATTATATATATAAAAATTATACATAATATATGTAACTACCCAAGACGTACCAGTGGCAGAAACACTTCATACTTGTCCCTTTTCTTGCATTCAATCCCAAAACAAGCTTCATTGGAAGTAGGATGTTGAATTAGATGAGCAGGGTAGCTGCTCTTATGAGTCTTCTGACTACTTTTTATCCTTATTTCCATTTTTTGTTTTCCTGTAAGAAGGAAAAACCTGAATTCTGTATTATGGGGTCAAAAAGCAACTCTGGAACCAAAATGAATTTAAATGGAGATCAATAATGAGGATAGTGATTTATTAATTAAATTAGAATCTCATTTAGGGGTGCATCTTCCTTTGTTGAGACACTAACTTGAAAAGATTTAAATCCACTTTATTGATACAGCTTTCTCATTTGAAACATAATGTGACAGTTAATGACTAACTGTATTGTTCTACCATTTTCAAATACAAATTTTATTGGACTGCAAAACAGCAGAAGAGTGTAATCTGGGGGATCAGTTTAACTTTGACCTCATGTATTAAAAAAAAAGAATATAAATCCCACTGATTTCAGTAGTACTGGTATTCAGAAATATAGTTGAAGAACTGGGCTCTGTACTATGTTTTGGGAAAGCTGTTTATAATATGTTAATTGGGTGCAAACTTATGTATTAAACATTCGCAAAAGAAATATCTTCTTTATGTCTTGGAATTTGGGGTGTGGGGATCTTTTAATAATAGCTAGTCTTACCTTGTATATGGCACAAAGATTTTTTTTACGTGTAGGTATAAATAATGCTGGATTGACAGACTTGGGTTTCAGTTGAGATAGTGAGAGTGTGAGTTTGGTCCATATGGGTCACACCTTACTTAAATTATGCTGGTGTTTAAATAATGCAGGGAGTTAAGAATTTTATATATGTATTGTGAACGCCTACCTGAAATTTGTTTCAGCCACTTAAAGCTAATTTGCTTGGTGACAAGGATTTTGTAATAACCATAGCCAGAATTGTACTTTTTCCCATTTGACAATCCTGATGATGTTGACTTAGAGACACTTTTCAAAATTTGCTGACATTGACTGATCAGCTATCAGAGAATGTTTCTGACATCTGAGTCACTGTTATAGACTAAGTACATGACAGAACAAAGTGTCCTATGGTACCAAAGCAATGCCAAATTGCTTTGGTACCACAGAAAAAGGACACAAATTCAAAAAATACTTACTTTGCATGCAGATTTTGTTCCAAGTTCTTTGTTTTCTTTTTGACAGAGGGAAAAAGGCATTGTAAAAACATTACAGAAGGGGGAAAGTAATTTGATTTTTGGTCCCTCCACACACGCTTCTAAAACAAGAAAGGATTTGATTCCAAGTCAAACCTCATTAGAAGCCCTATTTATTTCCTCATGGATTGAGAACAGTAAATATTCCTTCAATATCATATTATTAAAAAACCAGACCTGAACACAAATTTTGGAAGGATATGATGAGCAGAACATCTAATTTTTGTTGTGTAATAATGGCCCAATCCACCAGCAAAGTAAAATAAAAAACATGCCCTCATATAATGCTAGTCTATGTGCTATGATGTTCCAAATTCATATATCTTCATATATTCATATACTCATATATCACTTGTTTATAATAAAAAGGTAAATTAGTTAATGCATCTGTACAGTAAAGCTATAACTTGTGTACAGCTACTCATAGACTTATAAAGACGGTGGTGCCATGACCACCTTCTCTCGTAATTTACTTAAAACTAACGCAGCGGTAATAATTCAAACAGGTGTGTGTTTTTTCTGTTTAGACTTGCAATTTGTATTTTAAACTATCTTTGCCATATACTGTCCCAAGTTCAAGAGCATTCTCTAATCTACTTATGTGTTCCATGTGGTTCTCACAAAACCCACATTTGTATAATACAGACTTAAATTATGTTTTGTGATGTCCTTGCTTTGTCATCTTATCTATAGGTGATCTCCAGATCAATTAGGAAAAAAGGTCAAATTCTCATTGAAAAGGTCTGGCATTATCTGTTGAAATTCTGTTATTGAAATCAAGTGGGTTTTTTGAATGGTGGGACTAACAAACTTGAGTCTCCTTTGAATTTACATTCTGTGGTTGTGTTTTCTGGTGCATGAGATCTGACTGAAGCTTTTCCAATGTTTTAAGTATTGACTGACACATCTTGTCTGGACTCGGACAAACTTAACAGTGACAAATTCTGTTCAAGCCTCACGTTTTACCCTCTAGCCTCCCAAAATACATAAACAGCCTGCTTTAAAATGCCTCAGTGGTTTATTCCTTTCCCAGTGTACCTGAAGACCTGTGCTCCTCTGCTCTGTCTATGCCTGTGCAAGTGTCTCAAGTCTCTGTCCAGCCATGCATTCAGGTCCGGTGTGTCCTCTCCTGTTCAGGAGAAAAAACATTAATGTTACTGTCTGTCTAGTAGACCTGTTACACAGGTGACTTATTGCAAGTACTTTCAAAACTTCTTGCATTTTTCTTAATTTGTTTTCTGTTTTAACTCAGTTTTGTTCTTTTTCTGAGGAAACAAAATGCTAGGAAATTGCTCTAGCCCTTTGTGTTCTCTTGATTGTGCTAATAAGCTTGTAAATTTAATCAAAATTTTACATTAATTTTAAGTTCCAACACTTTTTTCCTCAAATTGATGACCATGTAAGAAGATATTATAACCATATTAACTCAGTTAAGCTTAAATGTGAGTGCATGTGTTATCAGATACCAGTCAGTTTACAATGGCACGTCCTTAAGCCCTAGTCACAGGAAAAGTAAGGTTCTGTTTCTTATATTTTCTTATTAATGTTCTGTCTGGGCTAAAATTCTCTTCACTCCTTAGCATCTCCCAGCAACTGTGACCATCTTAATTTTCCTTCCTGGCCTTTCCCTTCTCCTACGCCAAGTTTCTCAGTCAGTCTTCATTTCCTCTCACTCCTGGAGTGAAGATTCTTTCTGCCTCCGGAGATTCACGGTCCCTCCTTTTCTCCCAGCAATTTAATGGTTTGGTTTCTCTGTCCCAAGGTCTTATCTTCTTACATCTTCCCACTCCTCCTTTTCCTCACTGCCTGCAGGCATTCTTCTTCTGCCCTGATTTTTTTTCCTCTTGAGATGTTTATTCTTAACAGTGCTTTATCTGTTTTTGCCCTCACCAAGTATTTTTCTTTTTTGCTGAGGATTTTCCCTTTTTCCTTTTGCCCTGCCCCTAGCTGATACCAGTTAATCCTCCTTCCCAGTTCTGATAGTCCTGAGGAAGCTCTTTTTCTAATCCACCACTAGCAAAGTGGAAGCTTCTTGCCTGAGAAGGATGGAAAGTACTGCCAGGGGGTGAGACAGGAGAGCTGCCTTACCTTACCTGCATGGGGCGGGCTGCAAGCCAGCGTGAGCTGACGTGGGGCCCTCGGCCTGCTCCATGGGGTCTCTTGTACTGGCTGCAGCAACACATCAAAGGGGTGTTGAGCAGCTCTCGGCTTCTCTTACCTGTTCTTTCTCCTTTTTCCTCTTCTCTGTCTCTCTGACTTCACCCTCCTTTGCCTTCTCCTCCTTCCCTTTTCCCTTCTAGACTTGTTTAAACGTGTCTACTAACCATTTTCTTCTTGCATAACATGTTACTGAACCAATCTGCTTTAAAAATCCCATTATCTTAACAGCTTGCCTTTTTTGTGCCCTTTTTTCTGCTTTTTCTGTACTTTAATTTGTTGTTACATGTAGAAGCCTGGTCTCTTTGAAGAGAGGGAACAGCTTGCAGATGAAAAAAAAAAACCATCCATAATATTTTCGGTTTTCTTCTGGCACCTTTCCAGTGCTGTTAGTGTAAGTGAGGGGAACTGCCCAGTCCCTTTGGATAAGGCAGGTGGACTGGATCCTGGACACTGCTACTGGGCTGAGCTGGGCTCAAGGTTGCTGCTTAGCTGGAAGAGCTGCTCCATTCTGCTTTCAGCTGAGCAGCAAAAATTTAACGAGGTTTTCTTCATCTCTTCATTGGTCCATCCGGACTTCGAGAGGATCGCCAAAATAACAGAGTTTATGAAAGATGCCAACACCGTCGTCTCTGATGACCTCTGCGATCCCTTGGCAGCCCAAGAAGGTGACATGATTTAATCTGCAGACGATCTCTGTAACGCATCCCCAGCAGCGTCGGTGCTGCTGCCTGTATGGCTGGGGCCGCGCGCCCGCGGGGGGTTTTGT